CATGAAAAAACAGTGAATTATTGCTAAAAAAAATAAAATGCAGCATTCAAGGCATGAAATGCAAGCAACTATATCTAAATAGTAACCAATTTTAATGAAACTAAGCCTAAAATGCAAAAACAAATGATGCCTACAATAAATTGCAAAATTGAAAATCAAATATAAAATACATGAACAAAGATGACGTGAACATGAAAAAATTGAAAGTAAAACCTATTGCTAAAATTAATGCCTACAATGAACATCACCATAAGACTACCAATTGCACATGTAAACAAACCTAAACATGCAAGGTTTCCTAAACTTGAACTAAATTTTAACAAACCACTAAATAGCCTATGAAAATGCATGATCTAAAGAATAATGAATAAAATAAAGGTAAAAGAAAAGTCAACTAAACAAAAAATGCAAACCAAAAATAGTTAAACACAAGCTATAAATGAACTTTTATTCTTCACGGTTGAGACTCCAACATGGCCCAATTAAAACTACATCTAATCTAGAATATGGATGAAAGACTCAAGGACTAAATGAAATACAAAATTACGACAAAACATATAAAGAACAATTAAGCAAACAATAAAAGAAGCTGACTTTTAAATGGCGTGTACTGCACTGCATGAAAATTCAAAAGAAAAAAATTCAAGATGCAATTATATACTAAAAATGAACTCTATTTAAGCTAGAAAAACCTATATCTATGAATTAACTACCTAAATCAAAAAGAAAATAGCATGACTCAAGAAAGAAATTAGCTCAACAAACTCAACTTCAAAATAGGTGCAGAATTTGGAAAATCAAAACATCATCCAAGAAAATGATCCAAACAGTAATGAAATGTAAAGAAAGTAACTGAATCAAGTAAGAATTAATAAGTAAACAAGTAAAACTAAAAATTTAGAGGCAAAAAAAAAAAAAGTAAACAACTCAACAAGGAATGAGTAGTTCCATACCAAAATTGATTGAGCACATCTGACCTGCACCTGTCACCTGCATCCAGATGAATCTTTCAAGCTTGATCTGGAATGTTGTGGTACATGTTTAAGGCTAAAGTTTTACTATGTTGTAGCTAATTGAATTAGGAAACTATAAAAAAAAGTTGAGAAAAAACAAGTAAAATTTGAATGAGTTATCATAAAAAAAAAAAAAACTATAGGTAAGTCAGGACTGGTAGATTAAAAAATAAATTTAAGTATCAATGAGGAATCGGTAGATTTGAGCTAGAAATCAATAAAATTTGCAAGTTTCATTGCCAAAACCATAAAGAACATTGAAAAATACTTAACAAAATGTAAAAGTGCAATCAAAATCAATAGAAAAATATGAAGATCAAGGGTTATTTTGTTGCTAAGAAAGTATTTAAAGAAAGTGTAGAAATTAAAGAACAAGAAAAATAAAATCCTAAGCTAAAAGTCTCCTAAAATCGCTGGCTCCACTCTTATTTATAGTCAAGTGAGTGGAGAATGGAGCCCCATAAAAATCTCTCCAAAATATCTACAATGAGTTGAGCTTCTAAAGACTTAGTTTCTCTTTGCTTCTACACTTGGTGCATGACTATTTGGCTTTAAAACTCTTCACTAGTTTACAAGCTTCTCTTCATGCATTTTTGCTATGCCAAAAAATCCTCTTTATAGCCAATAAGAGCTCTCCAAAGTGCCAACTTATGTGCTTCTTAAAATCTTTTTTAAGTCTTCAAAAGATGGTACCAAAGTGCATTGGATACATGGCCAACTTCCAACATGTAAGCTTGCGTCCTTATTCCCTCCATTTGGCGTTAAATGCATCCATATATTCTATAATTTTCCTACCAAAATTCAAGTCATAAAAGGGAAAATTTATGCATTATAATGCTTGGAAAAAAATCTGTAAATTTATCACATAAAAATTAACTTCCAACTCACTAATGCATACTTTACCTTTCAAGCATGTATTAAGATCCTAAAAAAATACCAATGCATAATTGAGCTAAAAAAGATAATTCTAAATGAATATTATAAGAATTGAGACTTGAAATATGGTTTTATAAAGCTCATTTGAGCTCAAGAAGTTATAGAAAAAAAGGGTAAGAAGAAATCCCTTAATAGGCAATGAAACACAATTACACTAGTTGTAACCTTTGCTAGCATTTACCACCATAAATCCTTCAAAATATGTCCAAATTGTCCAAAATTCCTCATTTTCTCTATTTTCATGTACACATGAGACAATTATACATTTAGGAGTATTTATACCATAATTTTCAAGGAACAAGCCAAAATATAAGTAAAATTGTAATAAAAATGAGCATGAAAATTTTACAATTTTAGTACAATCAAACCCCCAAACTTAAGCATTTGTTTGTCCTCAAACAAAACAAGATTGAGCAAGAATCATAATATACCTTCAATGTTTCATTCAACATAAAAGCTTCATGGATTGATTAATGAATATAACTAAAGTAAAATCATGAACAATTACTAATATACAAGAATTTACCTAGGCTAAGATTATTTCTAACTATGGTTCTACAAGCAAGTAACAGCTCCCACATATCTTTACATGAAACCTAATAATATTTTGCAAAACATGAAACTTTAATAACAAGGATCAATAAAATATGCTCATGTTCCATAAGTTTGCTTATTATATCTCTCTCCACTAATGTAGATAAACACATGACCAAGAATCATTTAGAACTTTATTAAGCTTGTAATGTATGGCTAAGGTCAAAGTATGATAAAAGTCATTTAGGCTCAAGTACTCTAATGATGTATCACATGTCTAGGATCATCCATAGTTGAGCTTTCAAGGTAAGAAAAGGTAAGCTTGACTAAAAAATCAACCCCACAAACTTTGATTGTGCCTATTTTTCTTTCCTTTCTTCTTTTCTTTGCTTTTCACCACTTTATTGCTTTTGTTTTTCTTTTCTTTTTTTTCACAAATTTTTTCATTTTTTTCTTTTGCAAGCTAACTTGACTTTTTCTTTTCTTTTTTTTTTAATTTTTTTTATTTCCTATTCTTTTTCAAGCTCCACCCTTCCTCCCTAATAATGCATAGCTCACAAAATGGTACATAAATGTTTTAATGTATATAGGGTAAGGGACCAAAAAGATATGAGATATCAAAATAAGGCTAAAGGCTTGTAATGTGATTTAAAAACAAAAAAAAAATATATCATAAGGCTCAAAATAAGGTGACTATAGAAGAATTATATTAAGGTTGGCTTGACAGGCTCAAACGATCTAAAGATGACTTATAACATTTCCCTTATTATGTGTTCTCTAGGATTTTGTCTTGAGAAATGATCAAAACAAATTCTAGAATCATGAAACACCACTTCAAAGACTAATGCAAAAAATATCTCATGTTCACATAATTAATACTAGATAGAAAATGTAATTCAATGTTCAAAGTGTCACTCACAAATGAATACCATATTCAAGAATTCACTAAACCTAAGTATTATCTCATATTTCACACACATTAAATCCTAGAGTCGAGCCACCTAAGCCTTACATTCTTTTTCCTCAGAGGCTTGAGAAGCAGAAGTAAAAAAAGCAATTCCTTAAATTTCTTAAGGTGTTTAAAAAGCTACACATTAATATTCTATTTACAAATGCACTTGAGCAGATACTTGCCTATGTAAAAGACATTATCTCTCGAAAGAGGAGATTAAACGATTATGAGATAGTTGTGCTCACCAGTGAGTGCATATCCGTGATTCGAAAAGGATTACCTACGAAACTTAAAAGATCTTGGTAGCTTTACCATTCCATGTACTATAGGTAGTATGTCTTTTCATTGAGCCTTGTGTGACCTAAATGCTAGAATTAACCTGATGTTTTGATTAATTTATTAGAGATAAGGCATAGAAAAGGCTAAACCCACTTCAATTACTTTGTAGTTAGTCGACATATCACTGAAATACCCTAGAGGAATTGTGGAGGATGCCTTGGTTAGGGTAGAGAAATTCATTTTACCTACCGACTTTGTGGTTCTAAAGATGGAAATGGATCGTGAGATCTCGATTATTTTAAAGAAACCCTATTTTGCCATTGCTAGGGATTTGATTGATGTGCAAAAAAGGGAATTGACCATGTGAGTTTAAGATCAAAAAGTCTCTTTTCATGTTTTTAAAGTTTTGCCATTCTCTGATGATTCTAATGAGTGTTCAAGGTTAGAAGTATTTAGTATTATGATTCATGATGTTTTACACCCATCTCTCTTTCAACTTTAGAATAATCTCTTTCGCTTTATCAAAAATTTTAAAATCATGCTATAAATGAAATTCACAAATAATACTATGTAATCATAACAAAGTAATATCAGCAAATTTAGCCAAAAATATAATTTTTTTTACAAATTGATTTGTTTATAAAATTACTAGATAATGTAAGCATCCATAAATCTTTTTACCAGGATTGTAATTCATCTATGAAATCCACCAAGCTATCTTCATATTGTAATAATAAAAAATGAGTTCATCAAAATCCCATTCTATAAGATAACTAACAAAAATTGACTTATACATGTTTATATCATAAGATCCACTTCTAAAAACCTTAAAATTTTAGTATTTAGATGAATAAAATTAAATAAATCTTTACCCAAATTAGAGTATGAAAAGTTTTGAAAAACAGACATTGCATACAAATTCTACTTTAAAATTAATTTTTTTTAAATTTTTACATTGAAAAATGAGAAGAATAAAGAATGGTTGGAATGCCTAAACCCTAAGTTTCTAAGAGAAAAGATAAAAAATAAAAATAGAATAGGGTTAGCCAAAAAAAAAAAGGCAAAGTAATATTAAAAGAGCCCTTTCATCTATCATTTCATGTCACTAAATTAATTGGACCTAATTTCTCGTCATTTTCTTCTATTATGGTTTTTAAATTTAATAACACGTAACTTTCATAATCACATTTTTATAAAAAAAAAAATTACGACATTACAAATCAATAACATTTAATTTTTATTTATTTAAATAAAAATATTTAATCCTAAATATCACTTATTCCCTCGAAATCCACAGAGCTTGTCCATTGGCTGATGGGACTATCGATCAATGCCCTACTTTTTCTCCCAAAATGTTCAAAAATCTGTCAAGGTTCATTCACTTCCAAAATAAATCACTCGGCCAATCGTAAGTACCTGCTGTCGATCTATAGCCGGATCCCTAGATTAGTACGATGCCCAAAATATGATCTAGCCCATGAAACTTTAACACTGGCCCACTTGTGCTGCAAAGGCCCAGCCAATCGACAATGGTTGCTGCCGATCGGTAGCTTCGCTAGACTTTCCCAATTTCGTGTCATTTGAAAATTTAAGTAATTTATTAATTAACTCGAATGAAAATTTTGGTTCTTACAATATTATTTTATAGTTCAACCGTTGAATTAAACTAAACTTAGACTAATACTAGAGCACAATAGAAAGTAAAAGCCTCGAAGATACAATGTATCATTGTCATAATACTTCCTTCTCAAGTTTTAACACAGCCATGAAGGCTTCTTGAGGTACATCTACTTTTCCTATTGCCTTCATTCTTTTCTTCCCTTCAGCCTGTTAACAAAGGATTAAAAAAATTAAAAGAGAAAAGAATACTTAGTAATGAAGGAATAGCATGTGGAAAGATTCACGTTTCTTTGATGAGAATAACAGTTAAAAAGGGAAATCTGCGTTAGTTTGGGTCTTCTATTATATTAGGTGTTTTCTTGACATTTTCCAGATTTAATCTGTTAGTCTAGGAGTACTTCAGTCTATATATACGCATGTAACTTCTTTTCAATCAGTAGAGAACAATTTACAAAGTATTTCAGCAGCCATTACTCTTTTTCAAACTATTCCAAGCAAGCAAGCTCTGAGCGTGATGCTTTTGGGACCTTAATTTCTCCAAGTACTAATCTAGAATGTTTTCACATTCATAAGACCTCTTCATGTGAATCTTTACTTCGACAAACTGTCACCTGGAGCCTTAATGAGTTTATAACACTAAGTACACATTGGAAGCTCATACTTGGGTATGCACACTATTCTCGAACATGCATCCAGATAGAAAGCTTTCTAGGTTGCTAAAGTGAAGGATGATCACACAAGGATATTAAAGCATAATATGAAGGGTATAGCCCAACATTCCAAGACAAATAGCTTAGTATTATGCAAGCGCATTATAGCCTAATATAAGAGTATAGGCTAACATTCCAGGTACTAACGTGTTTCAAAGTGGTTTTAAATGTTTTCCTATTAATACTATATTTTCAAATGAATCTTTAATTCAACAAAGTGTTAACCTGAAACTTTAGTAAGGAGTTTATAGCACTAAGAACTCTATTAGGAGCTCACAATTGGATAAGAATAAGGATATTTAAAATGCAGAACATATATGCAAATAATAGAGTAGCGTATACTGATGGTTGTGGAATGCACACAAGGATGAGAAGTTTCCAAGGAAGATTAAAATAAAAACATCATACTAGATAGCATGTAATCTTTAGAATATATGTCAACAAAAATCAATGAAAGAAAAGCAATAGCCATGAAAAACTAAGATGTAAATGGGAAATTACACAAGAACTTTTTAAATGGGAAACTTTTAAGCATTGAGATTTAGAGGCACAATCCCATAATCACCCCCATATAAATACATTTTGTAAGAAGCAGTGGCCTTACGAATACAAAATTACATGTTTACTTTTTCACTGATTGCCCTAAGGCTTGGAATTCGGAAAATGGCATTTATCCCATAAATAAGATAAGAACAGCAAGTTGGAATAGGGGATTAGCCAGTGAATCAGAATACGCTCTTTTGCGCAAGAATATGCTGTTGTGAAAGTTAAAAGAACTCGATTCTTTGAAATAAGAACAATTATCCGATCAAGGGCTAACCCACACAGAGGACATAAGAGACAAAATGAAACAATATGAAAGCTACGACCATACAGAGGAAAAGTTAAAAGTTCATCAATGGCCTCTTGTTAACTATCTAGTATAATATGGAGCTGTCTTCAAAAGAAAAATATGAAAATGAGATTTTGCAGAGAAATAAAAGTTCAAGTTGTAATGGGATTTTGTGTCAATAAGTTGTACTTTTTAAGAGATCAACATATATTATTATTCATTATTTATACATTTTGGATGGGAATATCCTAATACTGTGTTTGGTAGGAGGGAAAAAAAAAGGAAAGAGAGTGAAAGGAAAAATTACTTTCTTTCCATCCATTTTTTGTTTAGTCAGAAGAGGGAAGGAAAATGATTGAATTTGCACTATTCCCTTCCTTCCAAATTCAATCACTCATAAAGTGGGAGGAAAACACTCATTCCACTTAAATTAATAATTTTATTTACAACTTTACCCCTAACCTCTTTCTTTCCCTCTATTTTCCATCTTTCTTACCAAACACAAAGAAGGAAAAATAATTTTCCTTCCTCTCCTCCATTTTTTTCTTTCTTGACCTTTTTCCCTAGCCTCAATTTTCCTTCCTACCAAACATAGTAAGTGTTTCAAGTATTATATTTTTTAGCTTGATGAGAAGCTCAGCTGTATAAAGCTTAGTTTGTGCCAATCAAAAAAGAACTTCTTGCTTTTATTACCAATGAAATTTAACCAAATGTTTTAGTGATATTTGTCAAAATATGGGTTGTAGGTCAAGGAAAGTTGAAATTGTTATAAATAGTTACCGAATCTCTCCTTTGTATTCGATGATTTCTTTCTAAACCCTTCACTTCCTTGCTTTAATCTCATGCATATAAAAGTTCAATTTTTATCAGGTTTTCTCTCAGCCCACTCACTGCCAGGTTGGAACCTAAAAGGAAAAAACCATCTATATAACACCTTTGTTAACCAATATAAACTACTCTTGGACTCTCACCCAATAACTTAAGGTTTTAGTTGTAGTGGTTCTTGACAAGGTGTCTCGGGTGGCAACACTTTCAACTTAGTGAGTTTGTTGTAGGAAGGCTTGTTAATGGATTTACTATTTCTAGACCTTCACCTAATAGTTAAAACTTTTAGGATAAGTTATTATTTACAGTCTTAACTAGATAAACACCAAAGTAATCATCAACGAGAATGAAAGAGATGAAGGCTTACTTTAACATATCATTATCCAAATCCACCTCACTTCTAACTTATAGTTGAACTATAAATTACCACTCGGTTTAATGCATTCAACAAGATCACTATCCATATCCACTTCACTTCTGACTTGTTGTTATAAATCTTGCCCAGGTTAAGTTCAATATATTGCCAAGGTACAATTGTGTGATGTTACTACTCTTGGTAAAGTACTTTAATAGCCAGACAACATATGCCAAGGGTTATCAAGTCTATCAGTTCGCAAGAGCTAAATGAATTGATTACATAATATGATTGTTAAGCTCCTTACAGTTTTCGCTATTTTCTTCTCTATGGATGAAAATTTCTGTCAATTATCATAAAAAGGTTGTCATTAAATATTACCCTATTGCACCTAAACACAAATATATTTGGTTTGGGGACCAGGAAAAGATAAGAAAACATATTGTGGTCCAATGCGATACTATGAGAAGTAAATAAAAGCACCTGTTTCTTAAGGAGCTTCTTTTTTCTTGAGATATCCCCACCTACAAAGTTAAAAACCAGAGAAAAGAAAAAAAACCTTGTCATCATGCAACAAGTAGACATTAATGAATCACACAATTCAATGGGAACTGAAGTAAATCTGAAGACTAACTATAAAAGAACAAGTTATCTTATAAAGAATTTTATTCATACTATATGTGGTTATGCAGTCATTAATTATAAAGCCACTATTATCTAAATAATCTACATTCCAACATCTTTATCATAAATTATCACCTATAATAATTATAATCAAACAGATAAATCAAATTTATGTAAAAGAATAGACATATCCTACTTTATTAATATATAATGATTCCCCACACCCTTATGTTCTTTTAGTCTTATTCCCATGGCTTCAAATTAAGGCAATTGACAAGCCACACAACCTCACACATCCCCACATCTAAATCCAAGCTTATGATTATGTTTGGAATGTGTATTCATAAATATCCTACAGCTGAGGGAAATGTTTCACATAGAAAAATACATTCCAAAGTAGACTTACCATAGCATTTCGCCAAAACATCCTTTCTAATTGCTGACAAAGATTCACTAGCAATTACTTTTGAACCTATGCATGCCTGAAATGAGTATATAGCACACAAATTGGAACTGAATTAACAATATTATTAATCAAATGACAAACTTGAGGAAGTATGCACTCAATGATACGTAAAAAAAAACAAAACACTTCATACAAAATGAAAAACTTTCCCACTGATTGGCAATGGTTTTCTGCTCTTCTTATTTCTTTTTCTTGTTTTTAAATGTAGATAAATAGAGATAATAGAAACTGACATTTTTTAACTCTAATGCCTGAGCATAAATAATAGATTCTGGACAATACAAGCACTTCAAAGATATGCATTTGGATCAATATACAGTATATGATAAAAAACTCCAGAGTAACCTTGCTTGACCAGATTATATATGCTTCTACAGCTGTTTAGTTCTGATGTTATTCGTGCTTGATTAATGGTGTTCATCAAAAGCAGTGTTCTTTGTTGTTTCACCTTAGGATTTGGAGAAGCTAGCACTGTCAAAAGTACCTTACAGGTTTTCAATGAATTACTTTCCACAGGAAAATCTCAAAAAAAAAAAAAGTCTGTGCATGTGCTTGCCATCCATAGTTCATAAAAACATATTGGAATGAAAATAGTTAAATAAGGTTATTTCCTAACTGTTCCCAGAATTTGGAACATTAAATAAGCAGAGGACAACGGTAAAAAATGTTTATGACAATATGTTTGTGAAGAAGAGTTGATTAGGTCAAATTAAATTATTTTAAATTTTGTTTCAAAGAGATAAATGACTCAACTCTCCTTAGTTGTCAAATGAAAATATCAGTGTGATTTACCCTTTGCTTCAATGTGACTCCAAAAAAATTTGCCAGCATATAGAACTTTAATTATAACAGCAAAACCATATGGTTGTATAAATATATTAAACAGTTATAACTTTTAGAGAAGGTTAACTATCGAACCGCACATTCTTTCATCCAATAGAAACAAATCTGCAGATAAATGGCACAATGAAGCAACTTCTGTGCATCATGCAGTCTTTAAATGACAAAATATACCAGGTATTTCACAAGAATTGCTTAAAAGGAAAATAAAACATCACATGACAATATATTCAACAATATTTTAGGCATGTGCATCTTACTTGAATTGGTACTTTAAACATTTGTCTAGGTATAAGATCCTTCAGCTTTTGAGTCAAAGCCCTCCCAACAGCGTATGCCTACAAAAGATAGCTGATATTGATTAAACTGCTTTTCCAACATACAAAATATAAAGTTCAAAGAAAACTGCCTAAATCCAGCTCATAGTTAAGCATGGTTTAACAAAAAAAAAAAAAAAGGAGTTAACAGTATCGTAATATCACATCTGTGAAAACCATACCTTCAAAGAAATTAAGAATGCAAGCAAACAAACCTGCTCTTTTTTCTGATTTCTAGCTTTAAAACAATTCCTTTTATCTTGAGGATTTTCTACAATCACTAGGATTCTTCATGCAATAAGGCACCACTTTTTCATTCTTCCTAAATCTCTTCAGCCACTCTTTAACACAAACAGCCACATCATTCTACCTATCTTTGGCATTCCCATCCATCAACCAATTACCTTGTTCACACAACTTATTCTTAAAGGCAATCTTTTTGTCACATTTAAAATCCCACCATCTAAATGCTAGCAAGTCAACCTTTCTTCTATGATGTCTTCGCAATCCTTACAAGTTATCTGATCCATTTTCCTTTAAGAGAAAAATAAATACATTTTTCTACTCAATAACTTGTATAAAAATTGGTTATCGAGACAAAGGATCAAAGGGAAAAAACAAAAGTTGTATCAGATGCCTTTTAGCAGATTAAGAAGTCATTTCCCTTTTATGAAATATTATTGGATCTGAATTAAAAAAACTTCTTGTTTATTCCATTTATCAGAAATTTGCACTAATTTTAGATGAGAGAATCCCACCCACTCCCACCCTCCCGTCCCAAAACACAGAATTTAAACATAACCAAAGGATCTTTATCCTAAGAGTTAAAAAATAATGAAAGGATGAGCCTCACCTTATCCTTGTGCACAATAGTGGACAATGGTTCCACCCGATCACCATTAATCTGAATGTCAAGCTTTATCAATTCACTTTCCTTATACCTGGTAGTCAAGTACATGATTATGCTACTGTGACCATGGTGTAAACTGCAAATTTGATATAGTTTATTCCCAGAGATGAAAAGTTTTAATTAATTTTAAGAGATCCATTACTTTCCAATATGAACACATACGTCTGCCCAATTCAACATGAGGAACATTTTCCTTTTAAAAAAATGTTAAGCAATTATACTTGAAGGAAAAGCATCATTCAAAATTAATACTAATTAGTGCCAAAGATACTATGGAAAAATGATAAGATACAATGGTGCAAATGTAAACCTAGGAAAGAAAGAAAAATAATTAGGTAACATCAAATGAATATCTGAAAACTTATGTCAAGTCTCTGTGAAACAAAGTAGTTTTGGGGTCAATTGAAAAATCATTATTTCTTAGAGAATGATAAAATGGAAAGAGATAGCAAATAACCAACTCAATTCCCAATTTCTCCCCTATTATATCTAATACTTTCAATTTTTCATTCAAGATAAAATTTTTTTGATATAGAATCAAAATGCACTAGATAAAGTTCTAAAGTAGTTACAACTAGTGAAATAAGGAAAGCATTTCACTATCCTTCAGATAAGAACATAACAGTTACTGTTACATGCACTCACCCAATGAAAGTATATTCCATGCTAGCATAACCCTTACTTCTGGACTTCATCTGGTCAAAAAAATCACCTACCATCTGTGAAATGAACATACACATAGACTGAGCACAAGAATAAAGGAAAATTCCACATAAAAATGATTGAAGCCATCTATGTATAAAGAAATCTTTAGTTGAGAACAAAGCAGGATGACATCAACAAGGAAAGGGAAAATATTACCTCTGCAAGGGGTAACTCATAGATGATGGATGCTCTGTTCTCAGTGATAAATTTCATCTCTTTGAATTCTCCTCTTCTGTCTTGAGCCAATTCCATCAGTGGCCCAATATAGTCCTTTGATGTAAGCATCTCAATCTGTACATGTTACTTCATAATATAGAATTGCATATAAATTTACAAGCTTCAGAAAGCTCATTTAAATGCAAAAATTCGACACTTAATCAAGTAATAAATATCTTAAGGTAAACAAAATAACCTTAACAAATGGTTCCTCAATTGACCTTCTTTGTCCAGGTTCAGGAAGCAAAGATGGATTTGAGCACTCAACCTTCAATAACATTCATATTTGAATGGCAAAAAGTATGAGATGAATGATCCTACAAGTAAACAAGTTTCTTGTACAGCACAAGCCAACATATCAATTTATCAATCAGAAATATGGAAACAAGCTTTTCATTAACCATAAATACTGCGCCATCATAGAATATTGTGAAACCCATCAAGTAACACAGCAATATTCAATAAACTTGTTACCACCAGAAAAATGATGCCATTGGTGCTTGAAACAATAATTCCAATAAAGTTGACAAGTTTCCACATGCTACATGCTAGCCCAAGACAACGGGGCCAATATGCTGGCTAAGGCCAAAGAAATCCATGATGAAAGAAATTGTCAACACAACTAAAATACTACTAATCCATAATGCATGGACTACAAAGGAAAATCAGCATGAAAATGCAAATTTGTTGCAATTAATTTTGTTAAACTCCAGAGTTTCTTCTTGATGCAAAGACATTATCAGCTATAACAAAGCATCAGCTTCCAGACAACATTCTTGAAATATAATTTAAATAAAAAAGTGTGGGAAGGGTTAGAAGAAATTACGGTATCACCATTTACACAGTTCACTCTATACACAACACTAGGAGCAGTGGTTATCAGGCTCAGATTGTACTCCCTTTCAAGTCTTTCCTGTAAAACTATAATTTGTTATAGCCAACTCTGAATTTAAAAAATTCTCCAGAATTTGAGCATGCAATAAAAAAGCAACAGCAAGACACATTTACAAATAAATAAATAAACAAGAAAAGAGAACTCCAAGGGCAAAAAGGTCATGCCTGTACAATTTCCATGTGAAGAAGACCCAAGAAGCCACATCTAAAGCCAAAACCCATAGCACTTGAGTTCTCGGGCTCAAACTATATGTTTAAGACCAAAACCATAACAAACAGAAACATTATCGCACTGTAATTTATCAGAAAAACTATCAATCCTAATCATATACCTTAAATTCACATCATAATATAAACACTAAAGTTGATGCGGTTTGCAAACTGAAGACATTAAATGCAAAACAAACAAACATATTGCATAGTCCATGCAGTTTACACCTTGACAACTACTGTACATATGTATCAGAAGAAACATTCCAGAAGATTAAATCATGAGTGCGCATAACCCAGAATTCAAAAAATTTGGAGAAACCCAAACAAAGGCATTTATTATTATTTTTTTTCTTACATGGCTGTGGCATTATCTTTTATTGTTTCTTTTAATTTTTCTCTTTTAAAGAGAAAAAAAAACAACAAATTAGTTTTTGTAATCTCAACTAACACTAGTTTTCAAAACTTAAGTCAGGACTTAGAGAGGATGAAATGATATTTGAACATGTGTCCTTCAAAATTCTCTGCTGGGACTGAATAACTCCTCAGTCGCTCTATCCTACCATATTCAAGTTTATTACCAATCCAATTCATATACCTATGATGAGTAAGAAACAAATCAAACTTGAGAACTGTTATACTGAAACCTTTTGAGTATCATCTGCATATTATAAGGAACCTTTTCTAGATGTTTGAAGTATTATCAATTATTCCAAGAATCTCTCCAACTTTACTTCCCAACTCAAGAATTTAATAAATGGAAAAGCTTTTTCTGTGGTCAAGCACATTTAAATGTCTCATCTTTTGAAATAAAAATGATATCAAAGATTTCTATCAAAACTTATAATTATGCTATTCATTTCCATCTGCTACTTGTTTCTATCTATAGCTAGCTTTCAAGTTACCCATTCGTATATGATTATTAAAAGAGAAATATGCAACTAGCCTGAATAAAGTAAGTTTTTCAACACTTTTAAACCTCTTTCCTAAAATCAAATATGATGGGAGAATCCAAGAATATAACTACATACAGTGATATTAGCATAAGGTGTTGAGATCAATAAATTCAGCCTCCTACATTAAAAAATCATAGTGATATCAAGAATGTAACATGATTTTTAAGTTGAAACATAAACCTCACTTAATATGCAATGAAGTCAGTGGAAGACTACAAAAATACAAATTCTAGGGAGCCATGGAAACAACCTTACACTGTATTTATTTATTATTTATTTTCAATGTAACATGATTTTGATAACCTACTGCTATTTGAAGCAAGAAACCATAAAAGCATTAAGTGTTAAAAATAAAAAGTATTTGCCTGATATAATGTTTAGTTAGATAGTTACTGTCAAGCATCAAAACCAATTGACAATACGTGGAGTGGCCCTTATTATATTTATGTGCCTAGGTTGCACCAAATTTCACAAATGTGGGATTTACTTTATCTCCACTCTAATACTCGCCCTCACGTGTAGGGACAACAGAACTATCATGTGAAATGAACTTCACATGTAGGCATAACAGGTCTATCATGCGGTGTTAAGCATCAAAACCAATTGACAATATGTGGAGTGGCCCTTATTATATATATGTGCCCAAGTTGCACCTAATTTCACAAATGTGGGATTTACTTTATCTCCACTCTAATACTCCCCCTCACGTGTAGGGACAACGGAACTATCATGTGAAATGAACTTCACATGCAGGCATAACGGGCCTATTGTGCAGTGTTAACTTCATATCGTATAAATAACACACCTATCAAGGAAGGGCCAACAAACAGGAGTAGATCCGACTTTAATACCTCATTAAGCATCGAACCTAAAACCAATTGGCAATAGGTGAAGTAGCCTTTGTTATATTTATGAGCCAGGTTGCCTCTAATTTAACAGATGTGGATTTACTTTGTCTCCACTTCAATAGTTACCTTTAATGCAGCATCATTTAGTTGCAGTTTTTCCAATGCATCATGCAACTCTGGAAACCTGCCAATAATAAATTAGATAAAAATGAATGATGCCAGAGATTCAAGCACCTACAATGACATTTTGAAATTCAAGATGAGAAAGGACAATAGAATCAATACTGGTCTGCATCAACAGGAAATAGGCCACAAAACACCATTGGAGTGGCTTCCTCATATCCGGGTAGCGAACTTTCGGCCCTTCTATCACAGTGAGTAACAGTGTCACCCACTCTAGCATCTGCAACAGACCTTATTGATGCCGAAAGGTACCCTACCTGAAAGGGAAAAAAATAGTATAAGGGCTGAAAGCAGAAAGAAACAGAATTAAAAAAAAAAAAAAAAAGAGTTCACATTGAGATAGAGAAAACATAAAAAGTGCCAAAATTGTTCAGCTTAAGTGGTCATATCCCACATCATTTGCATATGGCACTTGTAGAATGGCCTTATATTCAAGTGGTACTTCTCAAGATATTGAACTCTGTTTTAGGTAGGATGCTTTAATTTGGAATGAGTACCCAAGTTTATTTTTCCATTTATATATTGTAACCAGTTTCATAGCCCAGATATGCTCAATAAATGCTTTGTAGTTAGCCTACCATGAGAGGGAGCAGTAAATGATGTTATTTATCAAACTAGTTGGGTTAAGCTCCATTATGGCCTTACCTCAGGTTATCCCACATTGTGAAAACCAACATTATTACTTCCCTATTTGTTTATAACTATTAGTACATGTTGACATGAAAATAAAAACAGAACAAAATAATTCTCATCATTGCTCTTATGAAAAATACAAAAGGCAATTCATACAAAATGATTTAATATGCTTGTTAACCAATGGGAATAGAATAGAAAAAAAACGACAAAAAGAGTAACAAAAATTTGCTTCTCTGACAAAACAGAAAAGGGAAACATAATCTAGATCAAATAATGCTTGCATGTAATCCATTTTTTTATTAATTTACCTTTATGATATCAAAAATCAAAATTGAAGGTGTGCCACATCCACAAATTATTGAAATGTTATCTTGAATAATTTAAGTAATGTTGATAGAATCTGACTCAACCCTTTGACCCAGCCGAAATAACTCAATTGACTTTAAAAGTCAACAACTTGAACCCAAATGACCCAAACCTAAAACGATCCAAATCCAAAATGACCCAAACCTAACCCACCTCACCTTTACTCAACTGCTATAATAAAAAAGCTAGCACACTTTGAAGAAATCTCTTGAACAAAACTATTTTATTCTTCTATATTTTTCTTATTACAATACTAAAATTGCATGAACATATATAGGCTAAACACTAAATATTCTCAACCTTAAAACCTAAGATTTTCATGCATTAAAAATAGCTAATCCAAGGAGTAATTTACTCTCTACACATAATGGGAAAATATCTGATGGATTTGGTGTAATTACTCAAATCACTCTTCATTCTAAAAATAAAAAACTTAACTAAAATAGACAAAATCAATTAATCAAGTAATAATAAAGATTAGATTTCCACACTCCCCCTCAAGTAGGGTGGCAAATGTCAATCAAGCCCAACTTGGACTTTAGATTCTTGAAGTTGTTTCGGGAGAGAGCTTTAATGAGTATGTCTGTAGTTTGGAGGCATGTGGGAGTATAAACTAAGCTAACAATCCCTTCCTCTATCTTCTCTTTGATGAAGTAATGATCAATCTCCACATGTTTAGTCTTATCATGATGAACATGATTCTTTGCTATATTTATGGCAGCTTTGTTGTTGCAGAATATCTTCATGGATTCTTTTGTAGAGACCTTTAACTACCCTAGCAACCTTTTTAGCCAAATTCCCTCACACATGCCATGAGACGTAGCTCTAAATTCAACTTCCGTGCTACTTCTAGCCTCCACAGATTGCTTCTTGCTCCGCCAAGTAACCAAATTTCCTCACACATAGGTACAATAACTAGTAGTTGATCTTCGGTCAGTAACGAATCCAGCCCAATCAGCATCAATGTAAATTTCAACATTTCAACATGATGTCTTCTTAAAAAATAACCCTTTGCCAGGACTTTTCTTTAGGTACTGTAAGATTTGATGCACGAACCTCAAGTGTTCCTCGGTTGGGCTGTTCATGAATTTGCTTATCATGCTAACCGAAAAACTGATATCTGGTCTTGTATGAGAGAGGTTGATGAATTTTCTTACAGGTTTTTTATATCTACCCCTATCTGTTGGTGGACTTCCTTCTTCAATTCCTACCTTATTCATTGTGTAAATAGGGGTGTCAGCAGGCTTACATCCAAGCATTCCAGTTTCCTTTAGTAAGTCTAGGACATACTTACACTGTGAAACAACGATACCATTCCTTGAGCAAGTTACCTCCATGCCAAGAAAATGTTTGAGGTGTCCCAAATCTTTGATTTCAAATTCTTTGGCTAGGAGGTTCTTTAAGTTGCTAATTTCTTCCACAGTCTCCAGTAAGAATAATGTCATCCACATAGACAATAATAATAATTATTTTTCCTTCAGGTGAGTGTTTGACAAACATGGTGTGATCGGTCTGGCAATGTGAAAAACCATACTTTTTTACCACTTTTGTTAGTCTATCAAACCATGCACATGTGGATTGTTTGAGACCATACAAAGACTTTTGAAGTTTACATACCTTGCCAAGATTGTCCTGGTTTTTGAATCCTAAAGGGATTTCCATGTAAACTTCTTCTTCTAGGTCGCCATTAAGAAATGCATTTTTGACATCTAGTTGGTGGAGTGGCCAATCTAGAATTGCTACCAATGATAATAACACCTAGATTGAATTAAGTTTAGCTACCGGAGTAAATATCTCCTCATAGTCAACACCATAAGATTGTGTAAATCCTTTTGCAACAAGGCAAGCTTTGAATCTATTAATAGTTCCATCTACATTGTGCTTGATAGTAAAAATCCATTTGCACCCATCTAGATTTTTTCCTTTGGGTAATTCTAAAATCTGCCATGTTTTATTCTTTTCTAGGGCCCTGATTTCTTCCAAAACAACCATCTTCCATTTTGGTTGCATGAGTGCTTCATGAATATTATTAGGAATCTGCATATTGTTTCTTGTGGTAACAAAAACCCAATAACTGGGTGATAAACCTTCATAAGAAACCACATTATAGATTGGGTGTTGAGTACATGATCTCACACCTTTCCTTAGAGCAATCGGTTGATCAAGATTATCCAAAAATTCAATTGAATCAGATTCAATAAGAATGTTACCTGTGTTGGTTTCAAGTATCTTTGGAATCAGTTCAGATTCTTGGTTTTGCTTTGAAGGTGTACATTCTCCTAAATCCTTTTGAGTTTTATGTCTTCTTGAATAGAGAATCAATTCTTTGTTTGTTTTCTCTTGTGTAGACTTCAAGCTTAGAGGATCCGGTTGGATGTTTTGGACTTGAAAGGGAGTTTAAGGATCTGGTTGGATGTTTTGGACATGAAAGGGAGTTTAAGAAGTGTTTGGTTGTTCGGGAATAGAATATTCCCAAAGCTGATATTCCCGTGTGATTGAATTCTCCCCCTGAATGGTAGTTTTGGGAAAATAAGGTTGGTTTTCAAAAAAAGTAACATTCATGGAATGATAGAATTTCTTTGTTACTGGTGAGTAACATTTGTATCCTTTTTTATTCAAAGAGTATCCGAGAAATATGCATTTGATGGATTTGGGATCTAGTTTGCTTTGGTTTTGTCGGCTGGTAAGAACAAATGCAGTGCATCCAAACACTTTGATGGGAATAGACAAGATGATTCGAAGTTGAGGATAGGAACTGAGAAAAGATTGGAAAGGGCTTTGAAATTTCAGAACTTGAGAAGGCATTTTATTTATAAGATATGTAACGGTAAGAACAACCTTATCCCAAAAATGCTTAGGTACATGGGGCAGCCATCATGAGGGACCTTGCAACTTCCAACAAATGACAATTTTTTCTTTCAACCACGCCATTCTGTTGAGGAGTATCGACACATGCACTTTGATGAATTATACTATGCTTCATTATATATGATCCAAGGATTGAATTGTAGTATTCTCTCCCATTGTCGGCTCTTAACACTCAGATTTTGGTTTTGAATTGAGTTTGGATCATATTGTTGAAGTTTTGGAATAGCTGGCCCACTTCTAATTTTTCATTCATAAGAAATACCCATGTCCCTGGTGTGATCATCAATAAATGTGACAAACTATTTGCAGCCAGTTGTGGGAAAACACTTATTTACAGCTGGTTGTAATCTTGTAATTTGTATTTTTATATTTGTATCTCTAGAATTAAGTATTTGTATCCCTAGAATTAAGGAAGATTTAGTTTCCTAGTTTAACCCCAAGTTAGTTGTATATAAACCTAAGATTCTTGTATAATTCATAATAAGCAGTTTTTCAATATACATTCAGTTTTCACACCAGTAATATTATTTACTTTGAAGGGAACCCAAATGTCACTATGTATCATGAAAAAAGGATAGGATGATTTGTAAGGCTGATTAGGATGTGGTACAAGTATGTTTGGATAGTTGGCAGACTTCACACTGAAAGTTGCTAGGATTTTTATTGAATAATGAGGGAAACAACTTTTTGAGGTACAAAAAATTTGGAGGACTTAACCGATAGTGCCACAACACAATAATACTATCATTATTATTACTAGAGGATGAAGCCACACAAGAGATATTCTAATATTGTCTTTCAGAATCATTAGCTCTTAGGATATAGAGTCCTGCACGCACTTAGCATTGTCAATCATCTTCCTCGAGTCCAAATCTTGAAATTCACACATATTTGGAAAAAATTTAATAAAACACTTAAGCTCTCTTGTAAGTTTGCTTATAGACAGTAGATTGCAACTTAGATTTGGGACAAACAGAATAGAATCAAATGTTATCTCTTTGGAAATAATAATAGAACCTGTATCGGCTACTTTTGAAAGTGACCTATCAACAATTCAAATTGTGAAGTTTTCATGACATGGGTTATATTTACTAAATACAGATGCATCCCCAGTCATATGATCTGAAGCTCCTAAATCCACAATCCATGAATTTGATTTCTCTAGTTTTACACTCAATGCACTTAGAAAATTACCTTTTTGTGCTAAAGAACCTGTTCAAATAAGAGTGGTAATGTTCTACAGTGATCGGGAAACGCTAGCTCTGGGGTTAGAGGTAACCTCTAACATTGGGCTCTCTCTTCCGATAGAGATGCTAGACTCCGAGTGAAAATTTTCAAAGGTTCAGATCATGCTCTAATACCATAAAGAAATCTCTTGAATAAAATTATTTTATTCTTTTATATTTTTCTCAACAATGCTAGAATTACATGAAAATATATAAGCTAAATACTAAATATTCTCAGCCTTAAAACCTAAGATTTTCACACATTAAAAACAGCTAATCAAAAGAGTAATTTACTCTCCACACATAATGGGAAAATATCTAATGGATTTGGTGTAATTACCCAAATCACTCCTTATTCTAAAAATAAGAGACTTAACTAAAAAAAACAAAGTCAATTAATCAAGTAATAATAAAGATTAGATTTCCACACACTTCAATACTCCCAAAGAGAAAATTTGAAGTCAAGATGCACAAAGAAAAATAAAACAATATGTTACTAAACCTTTTGAGAATGCATAGAATTTCTCTACCTGCACAATGAGCAAAAGAAAAGAAAAGAGATAGAGAAAAAGAGAGAAAGCAAGCAGAAAACACAATAACACCTTTTGATGACAAATGATAGTAGGAAACCAAACCATTGATAAAAATCAATTTACCTCACCAGCATACAATTCCTCCACCTGCATCTGATTAGGAGATAGAACTCCAATTTCATCAGCAAAATAATCCTGCATTTCAAGTCATAAATTATAAGGATTTTTATATGAAGGATGTAAGAAGTTGTTACACTCTATATAGAACAAAAAAGGAAAGAATAAGTTTCACTTTACCTTCTTAGTGGCCATAAAATAAATTTTATCACCTTTCTTTATCCTCCCATCTATGATTCGAAAATAGGCAATAACACCACGATAAGGATCATAGTAGCTGTGGAGACATTAAAAAGCAATTTAAGTAATTCAAGGCAATGAAAAACACCATGCAACCAGAACAAGAAAACTTTGTACAATGATGGCAGCAATATTCATGTATCACATAAGAAATGACTTATATGCCAAGAAGAAGACATTTCTCAATTTAGTAATCAATTTTACATTAGGTGCTCTAAGTAGTCAATTTTGAAAAAGGCATATAATACGGCATGTGGATAGAAATGGAATATGGAGATGGAAATAAGGGAGAAAGAGAGTAATATTTATTATTTAAAAGATTAAAATATTAATAATGTTGAAATCTAATCTTCATTATTACTTGAGTAATTGATTTTGTCTATTTTAGTTATGTCTCTTATTTTAGAATAAAGAGTGATTTGGATAATTACACCAAATCCATTAGATATTTTTCCATCATGAGTAAAGAGTAAATTATTTCTTTGATTAGCTGTTTTTAATGCATGAAAATTTTGAATTTTAAGGCTGAGAATATTCAGCCTTTAACCTATATATTTTCATGTAATTCTAGCATTGCAATAAGAAAAATATAGAAGAATAAAATAATTTTATTGTAGAGATTTCTTTATGGTATCAAAGAACGATCTAAACCTTTGACAATTTTCACTCAGAGTCCAGGATGGCCAATAGAAGGGAGAGTCCAACGTCAAAGGTTACCTCTAACCCCAGAGCTAGCATTTTCCAATCACTGCAGAACGTTACCATTCCTATTCGAACAGGTTATTTAGCACAAAATAATAGTTTTCTAAGTGTCTTGAGTGTAAAACTAGAGAATCAAATTCATGGATTGTGGATTCAAGAGCTTCAAACCATATGACTGGGGATGCATCTGCATTTAGTAAATGCAAACCATGTCATGAAAACTTCACATTTCGAATTGCTAATGGGTCACTTTCAAAAGTAGCCGATACAAGTTCTGCTATTATTTTCAAAGAAATAACACTTGATTCTGTTCTGTTTGTCCCAAATCTAATTGTAATCTAATATCTATAAGCAAACTTACAAGAGACCTCAAGTGTGTTACTAAATTTCTTCCAAATATGTGCGAATTTCAGGATTTGGACTCGGGGAAGATGATTGGCAATGCTAAGATGTGTGCAGGACTCTATATCTTAAGAGCTAATGATTCTGAAAGACAATATCAAAATACTTCTTGTGTGGCTTCATCCTCTAGTAATAATAAAGATAGTATTATCATGTTATGGCACTATCGGTTAGCTTAATCCAAATTTTTTGTACCTTAAAAGGTTGTTTCCCTCATTATTCAATAAAAATCCTAACCACTTTCAGTGTGAAGTCTACCAACTATCCAAACATACCCGTACCACATATCCTAATCAGCCTTACAAATAGTCTCACTCTTTTTCAATGATACACAGTAACATTTGGGGTCCTCCAAAGTAAATAACATTACTAGCTCCAGATGGTTTATCATATTTATTGATGATCACACCGAGGTTACTTGGGTATTCCTTATGAAGGAAAAATCAAAAGTTGGCCAACTACTCCAAAACTTCAACAATATGATCCAAACTCAATTCAAAACCAAAACCAAGTGTTAAAAACCGACAATGAGAGAGAATACTACAATTCAATCCTTGGATCATATCTAATGAAGCATGGTATAATTCATCAAAGCTCATGTGTTGATACTACTCAGCAAAATGGTGTTGCTGTAAGAAAGAATCGACATTTGTTGAAAGTTGCAAGATCCCTCATGATGGCTGCCCATGCACCTAAGCATTTTTTGGGTGAGGCTATTCTTACCGCTACATATCTTATAAACAAAATGCCTTCTCGAGTCCTGAAATTTCAAAGCCCTTGCCAATCCCTTCTCAATTCCTATCATCACCTTCGAATCATCTTTTCTATGCCCATTAAATTGTTCGGATACACTGCATTTGTTCTTACCAGCCAACAAAACCAAAGCAAATTAGATCCCAAATCCATCAAATGCATATTTCTCGAGTACTCCCCGAATCAAAAAAGATACAAGTGCTATTCACCAATAACAAAGAAATTCTATCATTCCATGAATGTTACCTTTTTTAAAAATCAACCTTACTTTCCTAAAATTGCCATTCAAAGTGAGAATCCAATCACACAAGAATATCAACTTTGGGAAGATCTTATTACCGACCACCAAACACTTCTCAAACTCCCTTTCACGTCCAAAACATCCAACCAAATCCTCCAACTCCCTTTCAAGTCCAAAACATCCAACCAGATCCTTCAAGCGCGGAGTCTACACAAGGGAAAACAAACAAAGAATTGATTGTCTATTCCAGAACACATAAAACTCAAAAGGATATAGGAGAATATACACCATCAAAGCAAAACCAAGAATCTAAACCGATTCCAGAGATACTTGAAACCAACACAAGTAACACTCTTACTGAATCTGATTCGATTGAATCTTTTGATGATCTTGATCAACCGATTGCTCTAAGGAAAGGTGTGAGATCATGTACTCAACACCCAATCTGTAATGTGGTTTCTTATGAAGGTTTATCACCCAGTTATCAGGCTTTTGTTACCACACTAAACAATATGCAGATTCCCAATAATATTCATGAAGCATCCACGCAACCAAAATGGAATATGGCTATTTTGGAAGAAATCAGGGTCCTAGAAAAGAACAAAACATAGGAGGTTTCAAAACTACCTAAAGGGAAAATTCCAATTGGATGCAAATGGATTTTTACTGTCAAGCACAACGCAGATGGAAGCATTAACAAATTCAAAGCTCGCCTTGTTGCAAAAGGATTTACTCAATATTATGGTGTTGACTATGAGAAAACATATGCTTTAGTTGCTAAACTTAATTCAATCCAGGTATTATTATCATTGGCAGCAAATCTAGATTGGCTACTCCACCAACTAGTTGTCAAAAATACATTTCTTAATGGCGACCTAGAAGAATAAGTTTACATCGAAATCCCTCCAGGATTTAAAACCAGAACAATTCTAGCAAGGTATGTAAACTTCAAAAGTCTTTATATGGTCTCAAGCAATCCCCACGTGCATGGTTTGATAGACTAACAAAAGTGGTAAAGTATGGTTTTTCATGATGCCACACCGATCACACCATGTTTGTCAAACATTCACCTGAAGGAAAAATAGCCATTCTTATTGTCTATGTGGATGACATTATTCTTACTGGAACTATGTGGAAGAAATTAGCAACCTAAAAAACTTCTTAGCCAAAGAATTTGAAATCAAAGATTTGGGACACCTCGAATATATTCTTGGCATGGAGGTAGCTCACTCAAGGAATGGCATCTCTATTTCACAACGTAAGTATATCCTAGACTTACTAAATGAACCTAGAATGCTTGGATGCAAACCTGCTAATGGGTCCCTATTGACACAATGAATAAGTTAGGAATGGAAAAGGAAGTCTACCAACAGATAAGGGCTAATACCAAAGACTTATAGGGAAACTCATCTACATATTTCATAAAAGACCAGATATCAAGTTTTCGACTAGCATGGTAAGCAAATTCATGAACAACCTAACCAAGGAACACTTGAGGGCTGTCTATCGAATCTTATAGTACCTAAAGAAGAATCCTGGCAAATGGTTATTTTTTAAGAAGACATCACGCCAAAATGTTGAAATTTACACTAATGCTAATTGGGCTAGATCCGTTACTGACCGAAGATCAACTACTGGTTATTGTACCTATGTGTGGGGAAATTTGGTTGGCAAAGAAAGAAGCAATCTGTGGTGGCTAGAAGTAGTGCGAAAGCTGAGTTTAGAGCTATTTCTCATGGCATATGTGAGGGAATTTGGCTGAAAAGGTTGCTAAGGGAGTTAAAGGTCTCTGCAGAAGAATCTATGAAGATATTTTGCGACAACAAAGCTGCAATAAATATAGCAAAGAATCTTGTTCATCATGATAGGACTAAACATGTGAAGATTGATCGTCACTACATCAAAGAAAAGATAGAGAAAGGAATTGTTAAATTAGTTTATACTCCCACATGCCTCCAAACTGCAAACATACTCACTAAAGCTCTCTCTCGAAACAACTTCGAGAATTTGAAGTCCAAGCTGGGCATGATTGACATCTACCACCCAACCTGAGGGGGAGAGTGGAAATCTAATCTTCATTATTACTTGATTAATTGACTTTATCTATTTTAATTATCTTATTTTTAGAATAAGAAGTGATTTGGGTAATTACACCAAATCCATTAAATATTTTCCCATTATGTGTAGAGAGTAAATTACTCCTTTGATTAGCTGTTTTTAATACATGAAAATCTTGGGTTTTAAGGCTAAGAATATTCAATCTTTAGTCTATATATTTTCATGCAATTCTAGCATTGTAATAAGAAAAATATAGAAAAATAAAATAATTTTATTCTAGAGATTTCTTCAAATAACAATAATATATCTTATTGTGCTAAATTACCCAGTCGTTGGGCCTAACCTGACTCAAGTGAGGCATTGGACGAGGTTTTTCCAAGCCCTAACCTAGCCCAACCTAAAATATTTTTTAATTAATAAAAATTTAATTTTTATTTCATTTTAATTCTAGAATGTTTTTAAAAATATTAATTTTTATTTTTTTTAATTCGGGCCCCTTGGGCTGGCCAATAGGTCCTAGCGGCCAGGCCCATGAACATGTCTATGCTAAATCTATAAATAAATAAAAAGAAACATTTTATATTAATATTAAGAAATTGTTTTAAACTAAATTAAAATGCAAATGCATGATTTATTTAATAAAATAATAATTTTGTATGTTGCTTTGGCTTGAAAGTCTTTGCCTAAGCCCAAATCAAAGCAAGTTGGGCTTGGGAGCAAGAGTGGACAGCCACCAAATGGATGGGTCTAGTCATAATGTATAATAAGGTTTTATCATAACTTCACACCTACTCCTTTCTAATGCAATACATAAGTTCAAAACTAAATAAATAAGTTTATAAAGATGAAACTTTAAAATTTGAAAGGTGAAAGGGAAAACAAAAGGAAACAAAATGGAAAATAATAAATAAAAGGTGGACCAACAATAAGAGAAAGAGGTAAATAATGAATAAATGAAGAGCAACAAATAACACAAAATGGAAGGAAAGAAAGTAAGAAAATAATGAATAAAGAGAGAAAAAGGAAAAGTAGAAGAAGTGAAAACAAATGGAGAAAGAACAAAATGCTTAGGATAAAAGAAATGAAAGATAAAAAGAAAACCCAGAAAAAGAAATGAGAGAAAAGGGAGAACATGAATGAAAAAATAAAAGGAAACAAAAGCTACTCTTTAAAAATTTTGTTGATTATACATATATTTAAATTTTATTTTAAAGTATATAAAATTTCAACCCTACATATTTGATTGGATAATTATAGTCTAAGACAACATGTTTCCTTTCTTAGTAACATAGTACATTAATGAAAATGTCTACACCTAATTCAATATAGTAGTAGCCTTATTCCTTTTACTTGAACTGCACTATATAAATTACGTTGCAAAGTAAATTATTGAATATATTATTTAATATAGATGGAAAAAATAAAAAACTGAAGCTATCAAAAGAATAATTAAAATGTTCTACACATCACATGGCTGAAAAGCTAGTTTAAAAGAATATAGGACATAACAGTTCGCAATTGACATATATGCTATGACTTTAAATAGACTCTAGCATTAGAATTCAAGAATATAGAAACAATATAGGAGGAAAATTATATTACATACACTAAAAGAAACGTGTCCCAACGGGATGCAAGACATGATCAGCTAATGATTAGCAGAGCATCAATTGATATCATCAGCAAGTGCAATGAACAACAAAGCTAGAAGTATACCTATCAAATATTAAAGCTCTTAGAGGATGCCTAGCACCATCACGAGGTGGAGGAATCCTTTCAACAATTGCATTAAGAATTTCAGTTATACCGATACCCTCCTAAAGAAGAAAAAAAAAAAAAAAGAAAAAAACCTATGTTTAGAATTACCAATTCCATGACATAAAGAAAATATGTTGTGTGTAAAAAACAAAAAAAGCAAACAATTCTGAACTAACCTTTGCAGAGCAGCATATTGCATTGGTACAATCTAAACCAATAACCTACAAAGAAGTGCCAACTTAGCAGTAGTTCCAAAACACTCACACTGATAATCAATTTCTTATGATTAGTAAAGCCAGCTGCAGGATCAGTTTACAAAATTAAAATTATAGACAAACCCCATAACTTCACAGAGAACCTGTGACAGGATGTAATCTGAATAGTTCAATCGATTTACACAAAGACACGAGCACATGCTCACACACACACCCCACACAAATGCATTCAAGTCTTAACATGCCAACCTCCTCAATCTCCCTGATAACACGATCTGGCTCAGCACCTGGAAGATCTATCTTGTTTAGAACCTGTAGAAAGAAAAAAAAAATGGATCATCTTAATGAACCATACCATAAATAACATCTCTAATCTACACCATTAGAACGGAAAAACTGATCTGAAATTCAATTGAGGAGAAAATATCAACACAAAGTGAATCTTATTCAAAATAGGATTCATATTAATAATGGAGAAACACATTTGTAATCTCAGCATAGATAGCATATTTATTAATCAGAAGAAGGTAGCATAGAACCACAGGAATATATGAATAAAAGATGATGAAAAAGGGAGGAACAGACAATGATGGGAGTAAGAGTTTGAGAGAATTGCTAGATTCCTTGAGAAAGAAGCCAGTAAAAGAGGAAACACAAATTCATAACTATGCTGATGGAAGTCAGAGGCATAATGTCCATTATAGAGGGAAAAAAAGGAATAAAACAGGACAGAATCATAAGCCTCAAGCACTGATTTGGTAGAGTTATTTGATTCAGGGCTGAAGTGGAGCCATCGTGATTTTCCTGCTTAGTTGCTGTTCAAAAGATCATTGCATATTTTTTTCATGGAAAATGTTGCTAATGTTTGCAGCACTATAGCGGTTTTAAATTTTTTCCTTCTCTTTTTCAAGTTAATCATCCAATTATTAGGGCCATTCCAAGTCACTTATAAAAGTTTTTGGAGTATATATTTTGTTTAATTTAGTTTATATTTTGTGGTCCAAATAAGTTTATTCTAAATGATAAAGATTTATCAGCCTAAATAAGCTTTGAATTGCTTTCTTTGCAACAGAATACACCATAAACAGAATTTTGTAACCATTTTATGTTGTAAGCCCTGGCAAGAAAATTCAGATTGATTTCTTAAAGGCTAAAATACTAAAAAAGCTATTGAAGTTTCTCAAAGTTCCTAGATAAGCTCATATCCTTCTATTTTACTCAATTGACTCCTTAAAGTAGTATTTTTGTTTAATTGAGCCCTTATTTGGATGGAAAACGCTCCAATCCATTTTCTTTGCCAAAGAAAGGTCTACATGGATGTTATCTCTACCGCACCAGTGTCTACATCAGACATACATGGTAAAATAAGGGAGGAAAGATGTATAAGCACCAAACTAGCATGAATTTTCCAAATTTGCCATGTAGGTGCTGATATGGCAAAGATAATGAACGAGTAAACATTGGTTTGGCAGAGATAATGGATTTTAACAGGTTTCCATCCAAAATAAGGGCTTACTTAAACAAAAAAAATGGTACTTTTAAAGACTAAATTGGGTACAATAGAGAATAGAGGCTTATCTTGGAAATTTTTTGGAAAGTATAAGGGCTTTTTTTTAGTTTGGTTTGTGCTTTTGTTTATATCATTTGTCTAATGTATAGATTAAACCAGATCCAGATTAATCGGATTTTCATTATCTTATTAATTTATCCCACCAAAAAAACTACCTCAGATTGTGTAACCTAGTTAGCCTTCTATGTCATCACACATCATATTCAACATCTTCAAAAATTCATAATAGGTGTAAGGATCACCTTTGTACTTTATGAAAGAAAATATAACAATAGCCACAAAACATGCATGGTCAATTAAAATAATGTTTGTTGTCCATAATTTAGTCACTCCAAAGCAATCAGCTAATTTCATAATGTCAATTTACTAAGTTGAACATCAGATGAAAGCATGACAAAAACTTACAGGGATAATTTCGAGGTTGTTCTCCAAGGCCAAATATACATTAGCCAGAGTTTGTGCTTCCACACCCTACAACAGAATACACCCTGTCCAATAACAATAGTAGCAGCAGCAGTAGCAACAGTGCTAAGGTAGCATATGTAGTAATTTGCACATTTGAAATTGGTTGGATCTAAATTTCACCATATTATCCACAAAATAAAAGTTCAAGTAAAATAAGAACTAGAAAATGACATTATTTAAAGAGATTATATTATCAACTCAAAGCAGTTGCAAGAATAGAGTAACCTGAGAAGCATCTACAACAAGTAGAGCACCCTCGCATGCAGCAAGTGATCGAGAAACCTAGATACAAATGGGTGTCAAAGACAAAAAAAAAATATTGAATTCAGGGAAATTAAAAAAAAAAAAAAAAAGCAGAGCAATCATCCACCAGTAAATCTACATTCTACACACATATAAAGGAATTGCTCTTAAGTTGTCATGAATGTTTGTCCCCACAAGCAAAAAGAAAAAAGTTTCCATGTATCATTCCCAATGATAATAACCTCATCATCTACAACATATTCCTGGCTTGTAACTAACTATATATAGGCCATGACAAGTATCTATACTTGATCAAATTCCTAATTCAATAAGATAACAACCTTATTCCACCTTTCATAGTGTAGCTCATCAAATAAAATGGTTGGTCAAGCAAATGTGGTACGGATAGCTTTTTATACAACTGAAAAAGCCTTTTAAACCTGACTTTGAATCAGAAAAGACAAAGACACTAATGTATTGCAATACCAAGCACTAAAAAATTTGTATCCGTTATCTGCTACATAAAATTGAGATGAGATACCTCATAAGAGAAGTCTACATGCCCTGGAGTATCAATTAGATTAAGGCAATATGGCTTATTTTCAAACATATAACGCATTCGAGCTGCCTGCAAATAGATTGAAGTATAAGTAGCTGAAACATTAACCAATAGGAAGGATTTGAGGAAAAAAAAAAAAGTGGCTGCAAAAAGCAAGAGATAACCTCATAACCAATCCCATGATCAGCAAGCATACATAAACTAAGATCGCTTAATCTAACATTTCTCACACCATTTAGCTTAGATGCATAACTTATCCAAAAATTCAAAATGCAAAAGATTCAAGCATTGTTATAAAGCATATATATATTCTTTTTCCTTGAGAAATTGATATGAACAGTAGCTTCTAAATTGGATCATTATATCATGTCACATTAAGGCACATAAAAAGATAAAATGGGAGATAAATCACCAACAGTCCTACACCTGAAGTCAAAGTATAAAATCATGGTAACCCACCCCATCTCAGTACACAATGACTTTGATAAGAAATTAAGGCATTCAAGAACAGCACAGAAGCATACAAGGATAGGCCTCTTCAGATTTGCAAGAAGATCTAGCCCAATTCTTCTTAACTGAACATGATATTGAAGCCTTTCCACAGTAGGCGTCAGAGTTTTCAAGCAAAAAAAGTCAGATAGGAAGCAAGGTTATTGGAGTTTCTTTTGAAAGGTTTGAAGATCAACCATTTAGATGTGTAAGTAGATTATAAAGTGAGAGAAAGAGATGAATCTTTGTCTCATTTGAGCATTGTTGTAGGAAGAGATATGAACCCAATAAATATGTTTAATAGGCTTGAAGTTTCTTACAACTATGATAAAAGAGAAAGAGAAGGTGGGAAGGAGATAACCATATAAATGCAATTTTAGGATGCATCCAAGGGGGTTTTGTAATTGACCTATGAGAAAAGGCTTAGTTTGCTACTATTACTCATATACTGGAAAAAAGGGGTTTGAGGGAACTAATAATTTGTAGCATTAGCACAAAGAACGGTAAGATGCAAAAAAGCAGGATGCAGTTCAAGGGCAAAATTTCATACAAAGTAGGCGGTTGAAACTTACAAGTGGGTTAGTAAAGATTGTTCACACTCATGTTTCTTTTGATGTGAGGAATAGAAATTTTATTTCCTTTTGACATAAATGCAGTGTGGTGTAGAGTGCACAAAAGATCAGTTTCCAAAGTCTACTTTGTTGGTAAGGCAAAAAGAGTCTTCGATGTAGCATTTCTCATGTAGCATTTTCCAATGCCAGCCAACTGTAATAAGAAATTTGAACACAGTGGAACACACTATTCGAACTAAGGAAACCCCCCCTTCCCATTTTTACGCAAATAGAACATCCAATTATAAGATACTATTCCTTCCAAATCCATAAATTTAGTTTATAGAAACATTGAGGATAACAAAGCTAATTATATAATCAAATTGTCACACGCACACAGACACACAATCATGCACACATATACAATGTGCCCTACACACAGATTGGAAAGCTACACTGAAAACCGAAGCAGTTTTTGAACTTGAATTCTAATGATAACAAGGAGAACTTCTCCTCAATACACCTAGTCAGCAAGATGAAGTAATTACAAATGAGCATATAGGAAAGGTACACTGAAAACAGAAGCAGTTTTGAACTTGAATTCTAGATACTCATACCCACCAAAGCCTGATAAGCACAACAGAGAAACTAGTATGCATTTTTTTTTCCTTTGTGGCTCTGTCTTTGAAAGTAGAAACAAGTTACTCCTAGTAATATATTGACAAGGCAAAGGGGTATTAAAATCCAGCAAAACACTTTGTAGCACTTGGTTTTATGTAACGAACATGTTTTGAGATCCAAAAAGAAAACCAACCTGAAGTTTGATTGTAATGCCTCTTTCCCTCTCCAAGTCCATGTTATCAAGAAACTGCTCTTTCATTTCTCGCTTCTGCACAGTACCCGTCATCTGAAGCAACTTGTCTGCCAAAGTTGATTTCCCATGATCAATATGTGCTATGATGCAGAAATTTCTAATGTTGGAAACGGGGACCTTCAAGAGACGGTCTTGCCCAACTTTGGCACCAAATTCTGGGTCATATTGCTCTTTCTTCGCCTGCATCTCAACGCTCTGGCAGACCACTTGAAACCGGGAATGTTTAGCGAGGCGACGAGTTGCTGAGATGGGAAGCGCGCCCAACTGAGACCTCCTCAAATGGTGCTGCTGCTGGCCTTGCCAAGTGTTTATGGATAACAAGGCCGTTCGCCCAGAGCAGAGCTCCTTGGCCATTTTTTTTTCCCTTTTGCAAGGATTTTTTGGTTGGTAATTTAATTTAAATTTGTGGAATCTATTTATCAGTAGCATTTTTCTTAAATGGAATTCAATTTGTGGGAGGTTGTCGTGGGCCACACAAGATCGTAACAATCCTCTGCTTTACCTTTGCTGTAATAAGTAGCCCCACCTTTCTACCACCTTCTATCCAACAAAATTAGGCATGTGCAAAGGCTAGGAGCCTCGCACTAGTGCATGGAACACAATTTGGGTAAGCCGTGATAGGTGTAGAAATGAGATCGGTTACATAAATAAAAAGGTAAAATATATCCGCACTCAATTATGGATCTATTTTTAAAATAATATCTTAATTATCAATTTTTGTATTTAATTACTTAAATTTAAGTATTGTTTTACTTAATTATTAGTTTTTAACAATATATTGACATGACATTATTACGTTAGCAATCAGTATAATACTTAACATGTCAAATGATATGACAATACCACATGGCATTGCCATATTATTTTTTACATCAACTATATGTCATATAAATTATCAAATGATGTGATAATGTCACGTGATACATTATTGCTTACATAGCAGTGCCATTTCAATACCATTAAAGATCATGACTAAGTAACAAAAATTAATACTCACTCTAATTTAGGTTACTAAATTAAAAAAAAATTAATAGTTAGATGATTATTTTAAAAATAGCTGTATAGTTGGATGACTAATTATATATTTTTCCCTTAATAAAATTATAAAAAAGTTATATGTAATAGCATGATTAGATTTTTAGTTTTAGTGAACAGAATTCAAATTTTAGTAATCTCAAATTTATATATAAGGTTGGTTGTTTTCTTTTTTTCTTTTTTTTTTTTTTTTGCCATGCTAAATGTCATCATTTTAAGAGTTTTGTTAAATACATTTAAAGTGTTTACTTATATATAAAAGGCAGATGTAAGAGCTCCAATCAAAGTTCTCACATCAATAGTTAGTGTTTCTTTTTCTTCTTTTTTTGCTTTGGTCATGCTAAACGTCATCGTTTTAGAGTTTTATTAAACATATTTAAAGTGTTTTCCTTTCTCATGGATCCACTTACTAGCTTATAAAAGTGTTTGTTTGCATTTATTCAAGCAATTTTTTCTTTTGTTGCTTTTTTGAATATGTGAGTGATTTTAATCTTTTGTTTTGTTAATTTTTTAGATTACATATATGTTATATGTAGCTAACTAATATTTTATCTGAACATTTTGGAGTTTTATGTTAAAGTTTTTTTTAGAAGGTAGATATTAAAGTGGACAAATTTTGGTTCTATGTTGTGAGTGGAAGGATTTTGCAAAGTCATTCTTGAATTGAGAAAAATATTTTACTAATTGATTTTCAACTTTTTTGTTATTTAAATCTTTGTCTTACAATGGCAATGTAAAATCTTCATATATTAGAAATTGTGAATTAAAAACTTGATAATATGCATTTGTTGTTGTTAATAAGCATGTACACGAGGTTGTTAGTGATGCTAATATAGAAAGACAAGCTTTACGCCATCATGTTGGTGGATCTTTTCCAACTAAATCTTTGTCAAAGAGTTATTCTAATGTTTTTATTGCTAATTTTTTATGTTGGATTTGTGTTGTGAATCGATATTTTACTTGTATATTATAGAATGTACACAAAATTTGGATCTAAGTTATTATTGAAAGCATTAATCAAAGCCATTCTTGAATTTAGGAACTAGTTCATATTTTTTGCAATCTTTGTGACCTTCCATGGGTTTTTAAAAGGTCGCGACTAGAGAAAAAGTATGCTTAGATCATATTTTTGTTTTATCATTGATTTTTACAATATGAAAGTGATTGTAATATTTTTAATTACTAATTTTTTGGATAGGATATATGTTATGAACTAATATTTTACTTAATGTTTTAGAGTTTTTTCTTGAAATATTTAGCAAAATAGATGTTATATATAAATAAAATTTATATTTATGCTATTCCCAATGGTATTAGTTTGGATCTATATGGTCAGTTATATTTTATCTTAAGATTTTGGAGTGATTTTTCTTACTCTTGAATTTGAGAAAAATATTTTTTTTTTATTGATTTTCAGTTTTTGTTAGTTATATGACTATTCTAGAGCTTTGAAACAAGGTTGATATGTCAGTGCAATTATCATACGTATTTCATGACAACTTTTTCATCATCATGTTGTTGGATTTATGCTAATGAAACATTCAAGTATAACTTGAACAACAAGATAACATCTACACATACAAAAAAATAGGACATATAAATTGTCAAACCTAAAAACTTTCATTTTGAATCATGGACATCCAAAAAATCCAACTTGAATTTTACAATGATAAGCTATTAATATATTGTGGATGGTTGTGGCGTTGTGTATTCCATACATTTTTCTTTTTCAACCAACATTCCTTAGATTGTCTTTTCAACTTGTGTGGGAAAGTATGGTTATGGCTTAGAAAATGGATGTATAAAGTTAACTTTTTTAATCCAAAAATTTGGTACTTATTTTGTTAAAAGTTTATTGCAAAATTGCGATTGGTCTAACCTAAACTTGCTCAAATGCCAAGTTACCTACTTAAACCCAAAGTCTGTCCAAGTTTTAAAAAGGCATGGACAAAAAATTAAGGCCCGTTAAATAGGCTTAAGCAAAATTTCTAGGCCTGTTTAAATTTCGCACCAAGCCTTAACCATAAGATTTAAAGCTCGATCCAGCCCAAATAACATAAATATAATTAAATTATTATAATTATATATATGAAAATTTTTATTTTAATATTTTATTTTTTTTAAGAAAATATTTTTAGTTTTTATTATATACATTGGTTTCATGAGTGGGCTTGGATTTAATTTTTTTAACATGGACTTGGAATGAAAAAATTTTACACCTGAAATATTGAGTCAAATAGGGATTGGGTAAGCATATAAGCTATTAATACCAAGTATGAATAAACCCAAAACAATCCTGAAACCTTAAAACCAATTATGCATTTACATTTCATTTTATTTTCATGTGACATGTATTTTTAAATTATCATGCATTCATACATGTCATTCATTGTTAATTGTCATGCATTCATCATATTGTTATATTCATGCATATCATGCATTTGTTTTCAAAAATAATTTTAAAGTAAAATGTTTTTAAATAAGATAATATCTTAAGTAAATATAATCATTGAAACTTGGCCTAAATATATGGGAACTCTCGGTGATTATTATTTGCGAGGTGTTATCTCTATTTTATAAGGTAATTTAAAAACCCTTAAGTTAAAGATTTTTTTGAAACGCTACCTAAATATAAGAGAGTGAGAAATGTGTGATAATACTTAAGATGTTTTTCACTTTGATCCAAGAATAAAATGTTTTGTTTAAAAAAAAAAGGGAAAAATTAATTTGCTTTAAAAAGAAAAAAAAATCAAGTTTTTGGAATAAGAAACTGATAATTCTATTTTTTTTTTAGAATTATCATCTACTTAATTGATTAAATTTTAACTTGATTTAATTTTTCTTAATTATCCACTTAAATTCTTCAAATTTCATATGTAGGAAAAAGTAAAACACCATGCCTACACCTACTATCATCATGCAATTAGTGGTTGAATGTAGTGCAAAATTGGCCAAGGTAATTCAAGGCCCTTAAGAGATGAAGAAAGCTAATTTCCATGAGAATATGGAGCCATGAAAAAGAAAAAAAAATGCTAAGCCATACCATGAAGCCTCAAGTTGTAAGCCACTAACAAAAGCATGTAGAGCTTTCATTTCTTACATAAGATGGCTTGCTTGAGAGAAACTGTTATACAAGCTAATCTGAAGGAGCTTCAAGCTAAATTTAAAGTTGAAATAAGAATAAAAAGTAAGCAAAAAAAAAGCAAATTTGACCAAAAAGAATCAGCAAAGAAGGAGAGAGCAAAGGGAACAAATTAAAAGTCAAGCAACAAGTGAGAACACAATGAAAAATAAAAGTCAAGCATGGCTACTGGTTTGCATGGTTAAAGAAACCATTTATGGGCTGAGAAAAGACTTAGGATAGGTCTAGAAAAAAGGGCATTTTAAAGAGATAAAAAAAGAGAACCAAATCTTTGATATCTTCTAAGAATTTTTTTTTTCATTTTTTTTTGTTTCACATCATTGGTAAGGTAGTAGGCTTGTTGACCTTAACCTTGACTTTTATGGTTTCATTTTAACTATTTTCTTTAACATTTTGAGAGAGCACTAGGCTACCAATATGTGGCCTAGGTGGATGTATAAAGAACCCTCATTGGACAAACCAAGCAAGTAACACATTAGATGGAGCTAAGCTAGAAATTCTAACTTGAGTAGCCATGCCTGGCAGCTTTCAAAACAACCTAAAAATTACCTTGGCTATGATGATTGAATGGAAGGCTAGGATGGCTTATTTTGGATGGTGGATATGTTGTAAAATATCCTAGCTTTTGGCTATAAAAAAGAGAGAAAGGGCTAGCCTTAGAAGTTTTTTCCTTTTCCTTTTTGTTCTTTGTTTAGTTTAGGACGTCTTTGGGGACTGGTTGTAGCAACATTGCTGATCGACTAGCCCCACCTTTAAAACTTCATTTCCTTTCCTTTTTAGCTCATTTTCAAGCTCATTTAGTTGTTGTTTTTAGTTATCTTTTAGCTTGTTTAAGTTTCCTTCAAGTTGCAACACTTTCGAGGCTCTTTTTTAATTTGTTTATGCAAATACTCATTTTTATTTTCTGCTAATATCCAGATTTAGTTTTTGCCAATATTCAACTTTGATTTCCATTATTTTTCCAACAAGTTTTGCATGATATTTAGGCTCTTTGGAGCTTGGAAAAGATGGCTTTGAATGCTAATTGATGGAAACATCATAGGTCTCCGTAAGCTTGATCTTTTTGTGTTTATTTACATGCACTTTATATTTCTTGCTCTTTAATTTTTTTGCCCAATTTTTATATTCTACCTTTTAATTTTTGTTGCTTTTTACATATTGTTTTTATGCTTTTATTATGTTATTAAATCATGTTTAAGTGTTTATTGCATGGTTGATTAAATGCCTTAGACATAGGTTTATTGTTTCATTCATTTTTCAAGTAGCTTTTCTTCACTTTGTGTGCAATTTTTAGTTTGAGTGTCCTACATATTTTTTTGTTCATTTTTTAGTTTAATTTGAGGTTATAGAATAGTTTGTCATGTTGCATGTAGCTAGGATTAGTTTTGATTGCATTTAGCTCAGTTGATCCATAATTTAGGTTA